ATTAAGTAATATTATTCTTTTTTGTATTTTTGTTAATTATATAAACAAAGGTTTTAAAAAAAGAAAAGAAAATTGTTCAAATTTAAGTATTCTATTATCTATGTATTTAGTTAATGTTTTTATGTATAAGAAGTTCTTAAAAGAAAAAATATTTTAACTTAATAAAGAAAATCTATTGCTTACATATTTTTGTTAATGTTTTATACAAGGTTTAAATTTAAACAAAAAGGTTTTAATAAAAGAAAAAATGTTTAAACTTAATAAAATCTAATATTTATATATTTTTAAATGTAATAAAAAATAAAAAGAAGCAATTAAGAAAATTTTGTATATAAAAAAAGTCAATGTATCATTTTTAACAAAAATGTTAATTTAAGTTATGTGTATAAAAAAGGAAAAAAAGTAATGTGATAAAAAAATGGTTGATTTGTAATAAATAAAAAAGGTTTAAATGGGCCTTAGGAGGTGTTTGGTCCAAAGAACATATCCACAAAGGGAGGGGGTGCACACGCTGAAGGAGGGGTAAGGTGCCAGAATCATTGGGCTTAGGCATTAGTTCCAGGGGTCAGGCCCATTGTTTGACAAATTTGCTTAGGGTTTGTTTGTATTGTTCAGAAAAGGGTTTGTGCGAACGGCGCCGCTTCCATCGTCTTCTTCTTCGTCTCTTCACTTTCTTGAGCCAAGCTTTCTGAACGAACCTCCGCTCCACCTATGGCCACTAGGCGCCACCTCCAACTCCTCCTCTCTCCATGGTTTAAGCAAGGCGGTGGCAAGGAAAGGTACCGGTTCTCAGCTTTTTTAGGTTTTAGGGTTTTGGATTTTAGTCTTGCTCGTTATTGTTTTTTGACACATTCTGATCTTCTATGTTATTATTGTTGTGTGAGGTGTTTAAAGAAAAGGGAAGGAGAATTTATACCTTTGTTGGCTTTTGGAGACGTAGGAGGAGAAGTGGACAGGAGGCGTCTTCAGGCGGCCAAGGCGAGGGAGTATGATGACGAGGGCTTGCTGGCTTCCCTGGTACTTTGTATCTTGCTTTCGTTTAATGATGATGCTTTAATTTGAAAATGCTAGGATATCTGTTTCTGAAACTTCTTTTCCTCTTCTGCTTGCTTGCTTTATTTCCAATGCTATGATGATTTTGATTCTGAGTATGATGATGTTGTTGTTGCTTTTGCCTCAGTATTTTTGCTTCTGAATTGCTTTCTGGCTTTGTTTCAATGATGATTAATATCTGATATCTTTTCCTCTCTCTTTTGGCTTTGATTCTGAGTTGGCTTTTTATCAATGATGATAATATTGAATCTGAGAGTTGTTTGGATTTGTTTGATTCTGACTTGGTTTGGATATTTGGATGTGTTAATGTTGTACAGTTTGTTGGGGTTTAGGCTTTGACAGGCTTGTGTTTTAGCTTGAAGCAGGCTTTTGGATGAAGGTTTGTTGGTACATGTTTATTGTTTGAACAAAGGTTTGAATAAGGCTTGAGACAGGTTTGAAGTCCTTATGCAGGTTTGAAGTTTGTTTAGATTACAGGCTTTGAAAGGCTTGCTGGCAACAGGAAGACTCTTTATTGTTTGCTTCCAGGCCTGTAGTTTTTATGCAGGTTGGGTGCAGTTTGTAAGCTTGGACACTGAGTTGGTTTATTGTACAGGCAGGCTTGTGGTATATGCAGGTTTGGAGTTTTGTTGGTACATGCTTACTGTGTTTTGAGGCTTGTATGTTGCAGGATGGAGGCAAGCTTAAGCAGGCTTGAAGGGCTTGTGTTTTTAGGGGACAAGCCTGGGAGTTACAAGCTTATTGGCTTGTGTTTGCTTCTCCAAGGCTTGTGTTCTGTTTACAGTTTGTAGCCTATATTTTTCTATGTGTTTCTGCCTCCTCTTACAGTGTTCTGATTCTGTTTGTTTTATATCTCTTAAGCCTGCCTCAAAAAAAACTGTAAGCCTCCTACTTTTTACTCTCTTTTCTCTCTCTCTTAAAGCATATTATATTTCTTAAAGGTACTCTTTTCTGGAAAAAATGTTTGGCTGGGAAATGATGATAAATTTGAAATATGTTGCTTGCATTTTGTCTTTCCTTTGCATATCTTCTTTCTTCAGATTTTCTGCATTTTGTGTACTTGTTGACAGCTTTATGACAGGTCTTGAACTTGTGACTTAGTTGGACATTTTGACTTAGTTTGGTTTGCCTTGTTTGATAGTGCAATTCAGTTTGGATTTTTGCAGCTTGGTTGGCATTTTTGTTGACACTTTGCAATTTGAAATTATGCAGCCTTGTACATTTTGTTTAATATGCTGCCTTGTATTAATTCATATGCTTGCAAACTGTATTTTCTTTCTCTCTTTGTGAACCAAGAGTCTTCTTGTGATTTGCAGAGAGGGCGAACAAACTGATTCCGGCCAACACTTTTAATGATGAGTTTTTATGATTAACTGTCTGAAAATGCCCTTTTTTAATTCATCTGCATTTGACTTCTTTCTTTTTTTGTCTTTGCAGATAAATATCAGTTGAGCAATGGGGAGCAGCAGTAGCAGATGAAGATTTCAAGATACTTAGGATACAATTTTATTTTATTTTAATCATTTGTAATAAACATTATTATAAATACTGTAAAAATTACTTGTATTTAAATAACACTTGTACCAATAATTAAAAATAAATAAAAGTCTTTTTGTCAGATATCTCTTTTAATTCTTCTGCATTTATTTATTTAATTACTTAAATTTCTTGAATTATAATAATTGGAAATTATCCAATAATTTTAACTTAGAAATTATAAATAATCAATAAACGTCCGGCGTTCCGAATAAACAAAGGCAATGCACAGTTAAACAAACAAACGTCCATATATCCTTTATCTCACTGATCAAACTCAAACTTCAAACTTTCAATCAGGAGCCTCAACCCATGTCCCAGAGTTAATTGAAAAGAACTGTAGAATTAATTCCTTCTGAGAATGCGCGTGCAAACCCTAATTCTTGATTTATTGTCAAAGAAGCATCCGCCTGATCAAACCCTGAGCCAAACTCAACCAAATTAATAAAAACCCTGATAATCTGTTTGACTTGATTCAAAAGTCAATGGAAACCCTAATTTTGTCTGACTGATGAGAAAAGTCTGTTTGACTGATTCTTAAGCCAATCTGAAAAATCAGGAAAAGCCCGAAGTTGTGATTTCTTGTGGAAAAGAGGAGGACAAATTTGGGGTACAACAGGGAGGTTTCTCCATATCGGGGGGGATGGGTTCCTCCATAATAGCTTGTGACAAGGGAACGCGGGGATCGTCTTCGTCACTTTTGTCTGGTGAGCGAGAAAAAGATCTGTTGTAATGGCAGTTGTGATGGTGACCCTGATCGCGCGGAGGATTCCTCGGGCGATATGGTCGTTCGTCATTTCCCCTATTCCTATTTTCAGGGGTTTTTTTCTCTTAATGCGAGGGGATGTGATCACGCCTCCCTGTAAATACGGGCTGGTCCCTCTCTAAGGCGGGGCGTTGCCCGATTGGTCGAGGAGAGGGGCTTTGAGAGGCGTCCCGTCTGCGTCTCCGCGGGGGAGATTGGGGATGTTCCTCTATCTGAGGAGGAGGAGGAGAATGGGGTCTCCTATGTCTTTTGGGGGCTCTTCGAGAATCTTCGAGTGCCCTTAATCTCTCCCCTTGGGAAAAGATCAAGTAGTTTGTTTGATTTATTTTCGCAAATAGTGCCCTTGTCGTGGCATCAGCACTCGCGGGAACGAGGACCTCCTGGAACACGGGCGGCTGGTAGTTCTGAAGAGGACGACGATCGTCTTCGAGCCGTCGGGACAGTGACGATGAAGAGGCAGTCAGCCCGTCTCTGTACTCTGAGGGGCCGGGCATATCATCGGCGTGGTTGTTGTTGTTCATGTCGTTGTTATTGTTACCGATATTGAGGCCAGTGGGACCAGTATTATTGACTTCAGCGTTGTGGTTAACGACGTTGTTTTCTACTGTGTGATCAACCATGACAATCAAAAGGTAGTTGAATTTAGATTTTGTCTCGTGTGAATGGAAGACAGGGAAGCAAGTTTTCCACAGATGACGCCACTGATTATACCTGACCAGAATGGACTGTCACAACTTGCTCCGAGCAGAACTTGAGAGTGAGGTGGAGGGTACCTGCAAGACACTCTGATGCCAAAGTAAGTTTCAGAATGAGTCAGTAACTATGAGAGTAAGAAATGTTTCATACCCGACTCTCTCGAAAGAGAGGGTATTTATAGCCCCAGTGTTGGGCCAAGGTCTCCTCATTGGGCTGGTCAAGTAGGTCCAAAGTGGAGACTGTCAGGTTCTACGTGAGTAGTGGGGACCCGCACGTGGTCTCCCACCTAGATGACTTCTTCCGCAAGATCAGAAGGATATGAATGCGATCTTTCCGAGGCCAGGAAGACTCCGTGATATTCGGAGACGTTGATAGTCAGCCCTACGAGGAGGATGCTCGTAAGGTGCTTCTGTTCGTCGTGAAATGCTCTCCGCCAGACGCGAGGTCGTGTGAGGAGATAAGACTTCAACGATGAGGATCAGAAGGTGTCCTCGGAATCATCCTAACCGGTGTGCGAGCTCCCTAAGACTACCTGAGTTTTCCCCTCGTGTAGTGAGGTCACTTTCTTACGGGAAGTGAAACATATTCTGCCCGACGTGGATTGAGCCTTTCGTGGAGTTGGGTCAAGGGCGGACCCAATCCAGAATAATACGTATATTAGTTTTTTATGTTAGAATATATATCAATTAAAATTTAAATTATATTAACTAAGATTTTATATTTCGTTAATCAGAGAAAAATATATTAAAAAATTAAAATAATATGGAAACACTATTTAGGTATTTGTGAAAGTGTTTTTGAGTGTCAAGCATTTTTGTAAATGAAACAACATAGCAGCACCGATAAAAATACAAAACTTCCAAAATCAATTGAAAAAACGCTGCGCTATAACAGAAATCTACTGAAACTTGCAAAACTTGTTGATTTCGGCGTAGAACTTTCATCAAACATGTGGAGGGCACCTCGAATTTATTATCTCGTAAGTTCCTCCTTCTGTCTCTTCCATTAATATTGTTGGAGCTATGTTTCCTCAAGAAAAACGCATGCTGCTTTCTGTTACCAGGTTAATAGATTGAGTAAAGTGAACACTAGTGATGTCAATCGATGTTACAGTCAAATGTTGTCCCAACCATGTTATTCGCAAACCAAATCTGAATCTATTCCTTCTGAGCAAAAAGCTAATGGTAGAGAGATACCAAAGCATTATATTGGGGAAAATGTATCTAGAAAAGATAGAACCAAGTTTCTTCTCACCACAGTAAGCATTTTACTAATGATAATAATGTGTGTCATCATGGTTGTTGAATAAGTATTAACATTGTGAATGGGTTTTAATCAAACCCTAATGATGCAGCTTCGAGATATCGATGATAGTAAGGAGGCTATTTATGGTGCTCTTGATGCATGGGTTGCTTGGGAGCAGAATTTTCCAATTGGGGCATTGAGAAATATATTGATTAGTCTTGAGAAGGAACAACAGTGGCATAGGATTGTTCAGGTATGTATCATTTGTGTATGTGCTTCCTTTCTTTTTCTTTTCATGCATTCTTCTTTGTCAAACGAAGATGATTAACAAATAGTTGCAGAAATTAGTCTTTTTTTCTAATGGAATGGAATTCAATTACATAGACTTATAGTGGGGCTCTATACTTTTCATCCTAAGTTTTGTAGATGAAATTGGCTTTCTAAACGGATTAGTTTATGTGTTTGAAGTAAATAAGAGTTAATACAAATTACAATCATAAAAAATTGATGTTCCATTTTCTAAGGAAATTTTCAAGTGTAGAACAAATTTCTTGCAAGAGGCTACTTTTGTCATTATCAAATAAATGGCACTGCACTGTCACAACCAAACTCTATAGTTTGATTGTACCCATGCATATATAGCCACTGCAGTATTTCTTGTGATAACTAGGATATTGTAAATTCTCGCACTTTCAAGGTGATACCGCTGTGCATATATTCATATGTCTACTCTAACACTCCTGTTCAAGACATTAATTAGACTACCATAGAAACCAAATATGAAGTAACATTGTTTGTAATATATTATTCCCCCAATTCCAATGCTATTCATATGTCGTTTACTAGACTAGCGGTTACTACACAAACTTTGTTCCCCTTAAGATTCTGAATGTCCATCTCTAGTGGGTATATGGAGTAAGTATGAGGCACGAGCCCTTAAAAAAAGGGATATTTGAGTTGGTGTGGAATAGGGGTAGTCATTATTAAAAGTGATGGTAATGTAAGGGGGCAAACATGCAATGATGATGAATCAAGTGATTAACATCTTTCATGAAGCATTTGAAGTCTTTAGAAAAATACCGAAAAAAATTGGGCTCTTGGAGGCAAGAACGGATGGAAATATGAATATGTACTGTTGGTTTTGGGGGACACTGCTGTAGCTCTTGGTGTGAGTTGTGAAACAGCAAATAGTATAAGCTTTACTTTATTTGTAATGCCGAGACTTTATGGACTGGGACAGAATTACTAATGAATCAGTAGGAGATTACTTGGTCCAATATAAGGTTGCAAACCAGAATTTAATGTTTTTGTTAGTGGCCTTATGCTGTCAATGGTTCTGTCGTAAGTGATAGACTGGGGTGTATTAGGTGATTTGGAGGTTGGAGTGGGAAAGTTTGAGTGAGGCAGTGCCTACGTAAATTAGAGGACCAGATGATGGATGGAAGGTGTAGATTGGGTGTGTATGGAATAATAGAAATAATGGGACGGCAGCGTGGTGTATAACGGTTTTGTGAGGCAAATTATATAAAAGTCAGGCGCTATATTGCAAGAAGTTTGCAAGTTGAAGGTCAACATTTGAGAAATGGAATCAATTGTGTTGTGGCATTCGTTAAATGTCTTTAGCAAAGAGGCAGTAGAGCAATTTACTGGTAAGATAGCAGAGAATTACTATGTAAGTTTTATTTAATTCTTAGGCTTGCATCAAGTGAAGAGGATTTTATACTGGCTTGTTTTGCAAGTGAAATACAATGGTCATGGTGAAAATGTGATGACAGGAAATATTGTTGTAATCTGGTCTGAGATTGTGGCTCATCTTAACCCTGACTCAGTTTTTATTATTGAAAATCAAACTTCAAATAAGGCATAATCTCATAAATGTAGCAGATAAGTACCTTTCTTTTCATATACTTCTATTGATTGGTTAGTTAGATGATATCATGCCAGAGTTTATCAATTTTGTATTACCCATCCTAATGACCAGATACTCTTTTTCAGTGGCGGAGCCAGGTGCAATATTTTGAGGGGGCCATAAATATAAATCATATATGTAGATAACTTTAAATTGTAGTCTATAATTGCAATTGCGACCGTAATTATTGCTAATGTCGTACCATCTGCAATCGCATCGAACCACAATTGCAGTGTGAGTTAAAACCATACATTTTGCCGCCATCATCAATCATATTAAACGATTTAGCGGATAGTTCTTCAAGTATTTTCAACGAAACACAAAATTTCAAAATTCTAAAATTTAATTTATCTTTTATGTAATGAAAAATCTTAACATCAAGTATTTTTAAACAATATATTTTAAACACTTCTCAATTAAAATTTACGCCGCAAAGGTCATAATGTGCAATATATCAACCTCAATACCGAAATCACAATACTCAACCGCAACAATAATTTAAAACTAAAATAAATAGTTTTATTTAAAATAATATATATATTTTGTATTAATGCTAGAACCATACAAATAACATATATAGTTTTACTAAAAAGATAAGATTAGAATCGCTTTTGAGTTTAAGGTGAGAAATTCCAGATCAAATCTTAATATTCTCACTTCTGCCAAGAAATTAAAAAAAATAAAAGTTAATAAAATGGCCACGCTAAGAGTTGATCCGTGGACCTTAAAGCTGCAACTCAACACACTGACCACAAGGCTATTTAGCTAATTCTGGAGTATTGCGCATGTATATATAAATATAACATATCTGGAAAAATATTGGGGTGGCCATGACCACCCCCTGTCCCAACGTGGCTCCGCCACTGCTCTTTTTTCCTGTAGTAGTTTCTTATAGTATATTCTCTATGCAGAAATTGGATGATGTTATTTCTTTATTTCTTTTGTGGATGAAGTTTTTTTTCTTTTGCCATGTCTTGATTTTGGCCTTATCTGTTTGCAACTTTGCATGTGACTTTTAGGATGTATTGTAAGTTTTGATTAAACAAAGATGTTTGCGACTATTTTTCTAGTAATTATTTTGTAAACAAAGACTAAGGAATTTTGGTTGACCTTAGTATTATTTACTCTGATGCTTTAATATCTTATCCAAGGTAATTAAATGGATGCTGAGCAAGGGGCAAGGGACGACGATGGGAACATATGGTCAATTGATTCGAGCTTTAGATATGGATCATAGAGTTGGAGAAGCACACAAATTCTGGGAAATGAAAATTGGCACTGATTTGCATTCTGTTCCTTGGCAGATGTGCCATCTTATGATATCAGTATATTATCGAAACAATATGCTGGATGATCTTGTTAAGGTAAGCTTTCCCAAATGGTGGAATATAATTTTTATTTTATTTTAATTGATGCTCATTCCAATGGTGTGATTAATCCATGTGGCTGATTGCTGACCTTATTTATCTGTTTTTCTTCTAATTGTTGCTACTCCAATTCGGGTTCGCATCATGGATGCTCATCATTTGTTGAAAAGATTCATGTTAAAAATAAATCTAGAAATGTAGTTGATGAATCCTTAATTAATACAAAAGATATTGTAGTGCCCCTTAAAACATAGTTACTGGTAACCTTTATTTGGAGTTTTATTATTCTCATTATTCTGCTCCTTTCTCCTACTTCATATTACCAAAATCTTTTTCAAAATGATATTGCAGCAGTTGAAAAGTTGAATAGCTGTAACAGAATCAATGGACTCTGGCCATAATAACCATGTTGAATGCGATCAATGTTAGGCGATAAGATAACAAAATATTTGTTTTGCATTGATGAATTTTAGTTACTAATTGTATATAAAATAACAGTATTAAATATTTTACTCAGCTCTTTTTTATTTCTATTGGAGAGACAAATCAAAACTATTTACTTATCTCAGTTGATGTGGACTTGCATATTCTTGTAATACTCTATGCAGTGTTTATCTAACATCATTTACTCTCTTTGTTTGATGGCTATATATAGTTTTGGTTCTCGATTAACTCACAATTAAGCTTTGTTTCATGTCTTGTGCTTTTGATTAAAAGCTTTTCAAGGGACTGGAAGCTTTTGATCGTAAACCTCGTGATAAATTAATCATTAAGAAAGTGGCAAATGCTTATGAGATGTTAGGCTTGATTGAAGAGAAAGAGAGAATAATGGAAAAATACAGTCATCTCTTCATAGAGGAAGGACCAAGACCAGTCAGGAAAGGTGGAAGAAAGTCGAGTGCAACAAAGAAGAAAAGGCAGCCCAATGAATCTATACAGGACTCTGAGGAAAAGTAG